GTATCATAAGATGGACATTTATTAGATACAATAAGTGCTTTTATAACGTCTTCAGCTGTATTTTATAACTCCCAATACGAACAATTTGTTCACCAAAAATGCTCTACAATGTCATTCGAGCATTATTGCATTTTCATTTTATGCGATCCATAAAAAAAAAACAGTTGCCAAAGCACTTGATTTTATTATTATTGATGGTGATCCAAATATTCAGAGAGAGATGTTATATATGTGTATATAATACAGGGTGGGAATGCAAATTTGAATGTAGGGTTTAAAATGTACATGTATATATATATATATATATATATATATCGTAGATGAAGAAAAAATACATTTAATAGTCTGTATCTTGTATCACATATGTAGGTCAACGACACCCATTTACAGCTGGCTAGGTTACAACCGTCCTTTAACAAGGAGGCTTTTCGCCTTTTTTATGCTGTGTCATACTAAATAGTTGTCACATAATATACACAACGACGTCAACCTTTTATATCGACTGAAGGGGGTGGGCGTGATAATGGTGTACAAACTGACCTCGAATGGTTGGTGCAAAATAACAAAAGCATTCTTTTCAAAGGATATGCTCGACTCTGCATTCTCCTATAAACATGTAATTCTGTGTCTGACTTTCATCATGTTCATTGGCCTTCGAGTAGTGTGTGTATATAATTGGCATTTTCCTATATACGTGTAATTCTGTGTCTGACTTTCATCATGTTCATATCACAATACGCAATCAAGAATGACTCATACCTCAAGGAGCAATATTTGCTTGATGTCAACATTGGCCTTTGAGTACCGTGTGCATATACTAACTGATAAGTGCATGTTAGTACGAGTCGAGAACTTGAAGTCACAAGTGGCCAATCAGGGATTGCAGTGAAACGGGTGAAAACTTTATAACCATTACAATGGCAAATATATTTGATCTGGGTCCTGACTTCTACAGTGTTCCCGGGGAATGGAATCATGATGGCCGACCTTACGGAAAATATGTCCGTCAGGACATTGTCGAGCATCCAGAAATCGCCAAGATACGATCTGATGACTGCTTTGTGGTAACTTACCCTAAATCCGGTGAGTAACATTGAATAGCTTCAAAGAGCCGAGAATAACACCGTTATTGTTCTACGCTGATTTGTTCTGAGTTATTAGTGACAATTGTGTTCTGCTTTTTGGAATGATTATTTGAGATTTATTAAAGTTTTCAGAGCTGTTTGAATGTGAAGATCACACTGTACTTGACCTGCAATCAGTACAATGATTACAATCTGGGTTCATTACAAACGTTTGTTATTCTATACAGTACCAACTGCGACCAACTATGTCATCTTATCTCGATAACCGTTGCACGTGAGTGCCGGTTATTTGAACTATTTTCGATAATAAGAAATATGGATATATCGCCGTTTAATCAATTATAGAATGGTATTATAATATACACAATGATATATGTGGGACGGGGAGAACCAATTACTGACACGCTGTGATAGTAAAATCTAGTTAAGTGACATGGTATAGTTACACTGCTGATTCTATTTGTGTATGTCAGTGCGATATATTTGTCAATATATGGGGATACCTAATTTTCTCACAGCTAAACAATGGCGCATGCCCGGCAGCGTACAATAGGTCACTTCAAATACCTCTAAGGGATACATATCCGCTTATTTTTGACAACATTACGCACATTCGCCATCGGGACAATTTAATGTGTCTTCTTGTGTCTAACAGAAACATTGTACTCAAGTAGCTAGACAATGTAACTTAGTCTAGAAAATTTTGCTGAAATATCAATAAAAAATAAATTCATTTTATTTTTAATATCAATGAAAATATCAGGGTGTGTGGCATGTTAAAGGTCATTAAAAGTGCTGGTACACACTGAAATTCAAAAGTAGAACCTCGTCACTCTTAGACTAGCGGAACAAAAGCTACGTTTACACCTGAAAACACGGGTTATTTTGTTACCGGTCTATTGGGTTAACAAAGTATAATGCTATGTTGAGGTTACGCATGATGCAAACTCTTTTGTTATTAACTCATCAAGGCATTTGTTCGCCCTCTGGCGGTAATCATTCCCAAATATATTTCCAGCGTTCAGGAAAAATAATTACACTTTATTTAGTAACCGACGGAGAGAAGATATCTTCTACGTGACAGGAAGTTTTATATATTAAGATTATTATAAACAGTTTGGGTCTTATATAATTTGTGGAATTTAATCTACAGGAACTACATGGACATTGGAAATAGCTCACCTCGTAATGAATGGCGGAGACACCTCGATTTCTGCATCGACGCCACACGTGATTAAGACGCCATTCATGGAATTCAAACTTGATGGGATAACATCGTGAGTATATTTCTAACAACATTATATAATATTTCAGAGTATCTTTGATGATTGATGTTTTCACATAGTTTTGCATATCTGTGATAAAAACAAAAGTCGGAATTGGCGTGCAATTGCTCTTATTGCTAGTCAATACGTGATTAATATGGGTAACTATATAGTTCTTAATATATGTTTTATTCACAAAAATTGTTCGTTTAGAAACAAAAATAGTTTAAACCATGAATACATCATTATTCTTGTGCAATCAAAAAATAGTTGCAGTCAGAATTTCTGGAGAGAAAAAAAGTAGTTTTATGTGTGTTTCGTTATATGTTCTAAGCATATATTGGTGATGTTATTAATATTTACAAAAATTTCAATTGCAAATACGTTTATCTTGAGACAGGGGTAAATCGAAAATTTACTTCCGCCTTCACACAAAAATGCACGCTGTAACGACGTACGAAACAAAACAAAATATATTTGTGATTAATAGTAATTGATAACATCAACAAAGGTGTGTGTCAGCTATCGATACAACGTAGCTTTGACGTAAACAGCAATAATACTGTCTGAAGCAGAAAAACAGGGTTATGTATTTTAGAGCTGGGAACTGAAATAACTCCCGAGGCATAGTAATATATGTTTCAATTTTAGGAATAGGGTTTCCACCTATCTCAACCCCAACGAGCGTAAAGTTCAAGTTGGGTAAGGCAAGGGACTGTCAATCAAGAGAGAAGTAAACAAGTAAAACCTGTTATTATATCGCGCCCTGAAACAATATTCTAGGCCTTTAATAGCCTTGAAATTGCGTCTGCTATTGTGATTTGTGCCATTTCGCCCAGTTAAGCATGTCAAAAAACGAGTAATTTGATAAACACAGTAACGATATATGAAAATCGTGAAAGCACTGAATCACAACTGAATCATATTGAATCAATATTACGAACGAGTATCACAGTAATAATTAGGCAAATAATGGTGGGTTATTCTCCTTCTCATCGACAAACTTCTTTCAGAGCATAGGAGTGTTGACGGTAGTCAGTTTTACAAGGAGATAATAATTAAGTTCAGTAAAATAACTATTACAGTTGTCTTTTTGTCTTTCCTTCTAATTTAGCTGCCCAACATTCCGTCTTTGTCCTAGTTTTTCATCTGTGACTACAGGCTTCAATACACAAAACTCTTAGGCCAATTACAGTGTATCGATAAGCCGTAATAAGCCATCACACATTAGTTAGACCCCAAGTTAATAGTAGCACCGGAGAACCAAATATGGCATGAGCCAGATTCTTCCACTACAGCGCAGCGAGCAGTTGCATACCACTTGTGCAGCGGATGGGACTTCTACCCTGCCGCAGATGGCGTACTTCAATAGACCAGACAGTCGATATACGAAATGGAACATCTGAATCAATTGGATAACTGACTAACGACTTTTTTGAAAGAGAGCACATGAAGAACCCTCTAAACAACTGTTGAAGATCAATCGAAACTAATAATTGTTTATATAAGGCATCGAAACAAATATACGGGCACCATCTTGAGGGAAGGAAAGTTACTAGTTTATTTGTTATTAAAAGCAACTCGATGTGTTAACAACGTCAATTAACGTAACCGTTAGCAACGAAGATACATACATAGGAATGACGTCACCAGTGAATTTAAAACTTTGCAATTGCAAACATATATTTCATCAATATGAGTCACGAATATTTTAAAAACACGTGATCGGTGCACAATTCGTCATTGCCAAATTCATACAATTCCTTGTCATTCATACAACGCCATAAGTTATAGCGTGCCGTAATTTTGCGCTATCGCACTGGATATTTGTATCCATAATATCCATATAAGAAATGCGAATTCCAGTTATCGATCGATTACGCGTGGAGCGTCCTCTAATAACAAAAACAAACATGGCAGCCCCCAGGGGTTGACCGGACTCCACACAAAAAATCTGTTCTAAACTTTTTGAATTTCGGTATTCCTTCTTGTGAGGCATAACAATAAGATTATTACGAGGATACCGGAAAGTATGCACTAAATACACCGTCGCATCGACCTCCGCAGTGCGTCGGTCACTGTACTGTCTTCGTGCATACCTTTCGGTATCTTGTAATAACCTCATATTAAGGTCGATTTGGGCATGGCTTCCGAAGTACTTTATGCATTTGTTATTTCGCAAGTCAAGCACAAATATCACACGTCATGAAATAGATCAATGCCAACGTCAGAATAATATGCACACATATATATGCACATTTATAAAATAATACTATTGGCCTGATTTTATTACTTATAAAAATTATTTTAATTATGTCCGAGTTTCTTAAAATATTAATAAAATCGAGTAAATATCGTTATACTTTCAGTTTAAAAGAGGCCAGTTATGACGGGTTGTCAATCATGAATAAACTTAAACCACCTCGTCTTGTGAAGTCACATTTACCAGTGGACTTATTACCACAAGATATTTACAAGAAAGGCTGCAAGGTATGTATGGAGAAAAATCTCGGTATGTACTCACATGTTTTAGACAGAATCTGAGCACGTGTTGAAAGTTACAGGAATGTTGATGGCAACTGGCTCGTTGGAATGTTATGAGTCATTCAATGCACAATTCATAAGTAGTATAACTCGTACTAAGTCATATGAAAAACTACACCGATTAGAGAACTCGGCCAACAACAATGTATTATTTCATTGCCAAATATTTGGGTCTACCTATTTCAAGATTGTTCAACTAGTTTTTATTTTGTGTCCGATATTTACAACCAGTATTCCGAAGTTTGCACGACTGCTTAAGGTCGGACATATATGCATATGTCCTGCAATGAAAATGGCTATTCGATTAATAACCGTATTAATGATGAGTGTCAAACAATGTGCTTGACGATTGAAATGGGGCAAAGTACAAAGTGTCGTGCGATGCGGTTGGTCTGAAAACGACTCGGCATTTTTTCTCTGGCGGGGCTTTATATACAAAAGTGCTTTAGTACTATGATTTTACCCTACATCGCCCTCGAATTAAACTGAATACCAAGTACAAACATCATCTGGTTCCTTACTATTTTTCAGATCAGAATTACTAACTACAAGCACTAGCATTCCCTCGTATAACACTAGAAATAAGTATCACATCCCATATGCAAGTCCATACACTGTCTTTCAAATACCGTACAGCAAGCACTGCAAATATCTGAAATCGTATTGTTTTTTTATTGAATTATACTGTATCTGTTTACATATAGTTTTAGTAACTGCTGGAAAACACAATTGTGGAACGATCATATATATAAATTACAATAACAAATTAATATACCGCATTTCCTGCCACACAGACCCAATGAGGTAACTCGTGATATTAAAGCGGGAGAGTCGTTACCTGCACATGCGTCAGATGGTCATAGTGTGTCATTGTTTACAAACAAGCGCCTACCCGTGAGTCTTTGCGTTTTTAGCGTCTGTTGTTATTGTCGCTTTGGACTCAGTTCCCGCGCGTGCGCAGGTGACGGCCGCTTTAAGTTATTTCATGTAACCTGTGGCTTTCATTTTACTTTGTTTTGTTTTTTTAGTACTAATCAATGACACATCACAATTGTCTCCCATATACAGATTATATTCGTCACAAGAAATCCAAAAGATGCGGTCGTATCATACTATCACTTTTATAAATCAATAAGCGATGCCTTCGGTGACTATAGCGGTGATTTTCACGATTTTCTCAAATTGTTCATGAATGGCAAAGGTTAGTAGAGTGAAATATCTTGTCGTAAGTTCATTTTTACAATTTTTTTTGCATATTATACTCCATTTTTCGCGTTAGTGTTCTACATCTAAGAACATTATATTTTGAATTGATTTCTTCTCCATTCCGGGAGCGGAAGAAAAAACTAATCCCAAAACATTTGACATTTCTTCACACAAGTTTCAATTTATTAAACTAAATCCCAATCTCTCTCGCCAACTTTCAATGTGTCTATTTTAAAAATTCTGGCTTACCAAGAGCGTTCTTTATTCTCATAACATCAAAAACGTCCATATAGTTGAAGCATATTTAAACACAAAACATACGTGACATTATAACCGAATTTCAATTATTGGCATTTTTATTTTTTCGTACTCAGTTAAGTAAGCATCATTTTCTTGTTTATATTTTTGCAAATTTTGTATAATTTCATGTTAACAGTACACTATGGTGATTGGTTCAGATACACTTTGGATTGGTGGAAATACATCCAAAATAAAACAAATATATTGTGTTTAAAGTACGAAGACATGAAACAGGTATATATATCAGTGCACGTAAAAATGTACAAATCGCAAATATGTGTGAACGCATCACATGATCGTGTATGAAATGCAGCACAATAAAATCATTTGCCCACATTTCTATTGTATGCACACAACTTCACCATGGCAACATGCATGTTTTATTCAATAAACTGTTTGTATTTGTGCGAACAAGACATTCTATTCTTAAATCTCCACAGGATACAATGCACACTTACCTGAAGTTGATTTCAAATGTCATATTGTATTTTAATAGTTATTATAGCAATGGTTGCGAACCGTCTCGAAAACTATTCAGTGATATTTGGATAAAAATAGCTGACAAAATGTGTGTGAGTGTAATAAGTATTGAAAAAAATATATTTTTCGTAGAATGGGTTATTCTTTATTTATATATTTGTTGCTAGGATCCAAGGGGAGCAACTGTGAAAATTGCTGACTTTCTTGGATATACCTTGGATGATGTTACCATTGATAAAATAACAGATCAATGTTCTAGCAAGACTATGAAGAAAAATAAGCAGGTTGAAAAGGAAATGGTACGAAAAGGTAAGTTGATTCACTGTATTGATTGATGTATTGATTGATTTATTGACTGATTGATTGATTGATTGTCTCACTGACTGACTGACTGGCTGGCTTGCTGACTGACTGACTGACTGTTTGATTGATTGATTGATTGATTTACCTAGTCTTCGTCATTATTTTTTCTCAGCAATTGTCGGTGACTGGAAAAATCATTTCACAGTTGCTGAGAATGAGGCTTTTGAACAGATTTACAATGAGAAAATGGAAGGCTCTGGATTAGTATTTGAATGGTGAACATCGGAAATACAGCAACTTTTGAATTATATCGATGCTAAACGTGATTAATCAATTTGCATTGATTTGTGTGTAAGCATTACATCGCAAGTTTAATTAAAGTCAACCGTAATTTACAAATGGGCAATTTGTTTTAAATATGTGTCATTTCAAGAATGTTTCATCAATGCCTTGTGTGTTGTGCATAAAAGGGACCTTGCAACAGAGCAAATGTTATTCATGTTGATTGTACATGTTTAACTGTCGCGAAATTAGCAAATGTTTATTGCTAATTAAGGCAATTATATTTTTCCGTTACTATAGAATGTTGAATTCAGTTGGAATAAGTTTTTCCGTCGACCAAATCGTTATCTTGATGAAGACATGAAAGTAACATTCACTAATAACTTACCGTGGATTATTTTCTTTTTATTGCATGATGCACAATATAATAAAATGATTTGATCAAATAAACAGAAATAGAAATACTAGTAAATGATGAAATCAACAATTGTATGTGTGTCATAAACTCCAGTCGCAGGTGAAGAAATGTACATACCATTGATAAAATACATCAACTTCCTGTTTACAGACTTCAAACGGGCAATTCAAAATAGTAAAGGGTTTATGTGTCGGTACTAACTCAAATGACACGTGAAATGTTTTATTAAAAAGGAAAATCTGTGAAAAGTTGATCGATATATAGTTATAGCAATTGCCGCAGTCAAAAAACTGCAGATAAAATACAACAACCTTATATGATTGGGGGATAAAGCTACAGAGAAAAAAAAATGATTTCGGACATTTGAATACGGGCTTTGCATAAATTGAACGGTAGTTATATTTGTTTATGCAAATGCGTTGGTAAACATGCTGCCCTTTATGTTGAACCCCTCGAAGTATTAAAACTTCGTACAATATTTGACCAATGTTTGTTATCATGTACCTATAGTAAATACGACAATTCACAATTTCATCATAATTCTGAAAATATAATTATTTGAGTCCAGGTAGAATCTTTGAGAGTGTTCATAGTACAATATTCGGTCAGATTCAATAAACAAGGTATCGCACGAGACGCTATTTCGGATTTAGACATTCCTCAACTACATTGTGTATAAAGAAACTGGTTATAAGAACAATCAAAGGATACGGAAATTTAATAGATATGTTTCATTTTGCCGCTGAATGGAAGATACATTCGAAACAAATTAAAAAAAAAAGTCTATGTAAAAGAAAATGTAAGAACGTTTGGTGAAATGTGAGAGCTGTTTTGCCCACAAAAAAAGACATTTCAAATCAAATTTCTATACTTTGCAGACGAAGCATCCATAGCAATAAAAAGTTTATGCGTTTTTATATGCCTTGAATATCACACAATGTATACGGTAAAGATGGAATTTACTGTTAGACACAGTTCGGTCACTGGATTATTAAACATGGCAACAATATCTACGCACATAGCTTTGCATTTAACTCTATAACTTATGTATCAACCATTCAGGACTATATAAATATACTAAACAATAACAACCGTATAACTTGCAGTAGTTAGTAGTAACGTTAATACATGCAAGCAATGTATTTATTCTCGTATTCTCGGGCGATAATTAAACATACCCGGGGCTCTCGAGTGTCTTTCGGGATCAGCCTATGTAACTCAGTCTCACACCTATGTATCGAGCGTTAATCTTGCATCTTATTCACATCTCATGACGAAAGCTGGTGTGCAGCCAACAAGTGCCGTGTGTACACAGCGTCAGACAAGTGTATTGTTACTAACATGATTTATCTACCCCAAGAAACTTACTAAAGAATAAGCGCGAGCAAAGTTTAGTTACTTCTTTGACCGGTGCTAATCTACGTCGACCTGCACGTAACCGTGTTTCATCTGCAATATAAACAGCTGTCGTTGAGTACCGGTGTCAGCACACGATATAATATAAGCACTAGGATCAGGAGTCAGCAACTTTGAGACATATTTTTCAAGCAGAGAAGTTTTGTTCACCAGTCTAGAATAGCATATATATTCGATCTGGGTCTGGATTTTTTTTTATTCCGCCGGTCAATGGAGCCATGATGGTCGTCCCCCGAAATAGTCAAGATTCGATCAGATGACTGTTTCGTAATAATCCCAAATCCGGTGAGTAACTTCTCCTATTAAAGTTCGAAAACTTCTGTCACATAGGCGGCAGCACGAAATGTTGCATGAGTGTGACATCTGAAATCTAGATCCTCTGAAACGCTATTTTCCACATCTTGAGGGGCAAATTTTGCTGACACAAAGGGTTTCAGCTTGATTTTGGAGGGGCGAGGAGTATTTAACCAGGCTTACCAGTAAACCAGCATTCATAGCAAACTGACAACACAGCAAACCGTTAATGAAGAAATTGTCCAAACAATACGTACGTCTTTACCACATCTCGAAAACATAAAACAGAAAGTCTAGTGTTGGGGGCATATTTCTGTCTAGCGTGCAAGCCATGGCGATGCACGGAGCAGTGATTTCATGATTTTTGTGTCTGCCTCTTTCTGTCTGTCCCTTAATTAGTTCGTCAGTTTATGTATCTTATAAATTTTGTTGGGTTTTCTGAAGTTTTTGAAGATCACGTTTACAATGGTTGACATAGTTGACAATGCTAACAAACCATGTATATTGTAAATATTGACTGTACTGTCACATTGCTGATATACCATCGCGACCCACGGGTCATGTGATCGTCATGTGAAACAATTTCATATTTTGCCAGTCATTTTAAATTTCCGGTAAGATGATAATCGTATTAAGGTCGGAATTTGTTCTCCTCTAAAGTTGCGTTTTCCAATCACATCAATACCCTGTAATGTCACATAAATCTATAGATCTGTTATTGGAGTATAACTCGGCATGGTGTAGTGTCTCTGAATACTGAATCAACCAATAAAATAAGTTCACCAGGGTCAACATTGGCTTCAACCGCTCAAATACAACCAGATGACAGCGTATTATCACGGGGGAAATCCTTCTGCCTCGGGGTTCTCCACACGTGTCAGGGGGGAATCTCGTCTCGTCTCTATATCTCGTCCCCTTGAGGTATGGGATCGGGAAATTCACTTAAGTTTTACAGTCAAATAAGACGCACACAGCGAAATACGTTTCAACTCTCGTCTTAGTCGATCAGTCGAGTACTCTATATGACACAGCGCCCTGGGGGAAAAGTCCCCAAGACTATCGCAAGGCTGACCCAAGACTCTTTTAGACTGCGTCAAGGCTCGCCCCAAGTCTCTCCAGGACTGCACTTGTCCTGGTGTACTCGCCAAGACCAACTAAACTCTCTTTATTCATTTTCAAAATCTTAACCAATTACAAAACAGTAAAAAGACTCTAGGGCGTAACCTTCAATCATAAAGCCAATCAAACTAAGTACTGAATACGTCATATGTTTTAATTAATCGTTCACTACATTAATAACTACGAATACCAACTGTCAGAAATAATAGTCTGAATAGCTACGGTTATCTCGTAATTAGTTCCAAATCACTGAGCCAAGTTCCGTCCAAAACTTCAAGTAGGCCTAAACGATGACAGACATAACACAGCAATTCGCTAATAATTAACTAATTAAGTCGATCAACAGATACGCAAAAACAAATTCATGACAGTATATTGACCATCATGCACGACTCGGACTTGGACGCATGACACATTTTATGCATCTTTGTCATACTGAAAATAACCCTAGGAATATGTGTCATTGCAAAATGACACTAACATTTGCAGTGGTAACTTATGAATGGTTTTGTAGGCACTACTTGGACTTAGGAAATAGCCCAACTCGCAATGAATGGTGGAGACACATCGGTTGCCGAATAAAAGGGCCATTTTTTAATTTTTTAAATTACCGTTCATGGAACTCAATGTAGGACCGGGAATGTCAGAGTAAGTATAAAGTATTTTACACACAAGTATTATAAAGTATTTTACACACAAGTATTATAAAGTATTTTACACACAAGTTCCTGACGAGATCTCGTTGACAGCGACAGACCCTTTGGGCTGGTATTTTATCCTTAGATAATAATAGTAATATCATGATTACATTGGTCAGAGAAAGGGTGGAGATATCGGAGATCATTTGAGTCTATGATATTTGCTTTATTCAATTATTATTCATTGTATAAGGTTTACTTCAAGTTATGACGGCTTGTCTATTATGAATGACATGAAACCGCCTCGTCTTGTGAAATCACATCTACCAGTGGATTTGTTACAAGGTACGTATGATTTGAACACCTATGCACCTATGCATCTACGTCTATGCATACTATTGTAAAAAGGCTTTTTTATATTCTACCCGTACCATATGGCTCATTATTATGTTGGTAATAGAAGCTAGTTCATGTTCGAGTTGTTTCCCGAGTTCGATGTAAACATACTCCTCTACGAATCCGTGCGCGATTCGACCGAGAAGTCGCGTACTAGCCCTCGGTAAAATACATAGATCTGATTGGAGATGCCTCTGAAGTATACGTCCAATCAGAATTGGCGTAACATGTGACAACTGGCCATAAACTAGATGAAGCGGTGTGAGACAAATTGACGCAGGCATCGTACTAGCTCTTGATTTGGTACCAGTTTCTTTGACGTCAGCACGGAGACTCCGCCTCAAACGTTTCGGCAGAATATTGAAATCATTGTTTTGACTCTCAAAGTCCTATCATCTCACAGTCCATA